GTAATCACTGAGGCAACTGACCACATCATTAACACTACAAATGTAAGTCGACACGCCCCAAAATAATTTTTTCCAGTTTATCACTTTTTATTGCGAACCTCCGTTTTTCTTTAGAAAGTCAGACAGGCTTTGCAGAAGAACGTGTAACTTATTGGTGCCATTCTGTAAAATGTTTCCAGGTAACAGAATAAAGTGACAATTTAGAAGAATGTCGTTATTACCAAAGTCCACCACTTACTAAAGTTTCATGACAAAACGCTTCCCTCTTGCGAGATTTTCCATCCTGAACGACGAATGGGAGTGGGGATAAATTACATATCAACATACCGATAAACACTAACTATTGCAAATCTCAAAATGAACGAGACTCTCACATCTGGGTACAGAGAAATTTCATTGGACATGAATCTGAATGATGTTGCTTTTGGGCAGACAAAGTCAACTAGATGGCTGTCATATATAGTAAAATTTGCAAACAGTCAAAGGCATGTATGAGTACAGTTTATGAAAGCACTCAGTAATTCCTGAAAATGTGACGGTTCAAAAGCCGTTATACAGTGAGTGACCGATCTCATGAAATGTCCGTAACTCTGAAATGCGTTTTCAATTGGGAAGGATTACATAGGATGGGTGCTGTAATGCTGATTACCTTGCGGCTTAATGCTATACTATTTCGAACTAGGCACAATGCCAGCTATTGACAGCACTTGTTTTCAATCTCCGGTAGAAACCGTACTTAGCACAAAATGACTACTTTAGTAGCATGCATTTTTCACATTGATTTTTGATAGTCCTATAAGCTCAAATATGTTTTATGGAAAACACGAACGTGCATAGGCTTTCGTGCACTCGTTAGATAAAGAATCACACCGTCTTCATATTTTTTACTCAAAGAAGAAGTATAATTAGGGTTTTAAAAAGTTTCCTAGTTGCCGAATAATTTGGAGCATGATGAGCCGTTGCATTAGCGCTTTGAGATATCAGTCTACAGGGTGCACGCGTTCCGCGTAAGGAAAATCATTCAATCTTCCACGCTTTTAAAAGGATACCATATAGAGTCCATAAAATTTTGCAGTGGATGCGGGGTATGCTGAACATTTCATGAGGAGCAGTGGTACACGGACACGTACGATGCTGTATGAATGGGCATTGCACGGTTTTAAGAAATCTCATAATTAGAAATTTTTTAAAACCCAATTATACTCTATCTTCGACAGACAAGATGGCTGTCATATAAAGCGTAATTTGCACACAGTCGAAGGCATGTATGCGTACGGTTTATGAAAACACTCCGTGATTTCTGTATGGGTGCCGACATTTGTCGTCAGACCGGGCTTCAGCGGGGCAAATAGCTTGTGCACTCTGTCCGGACATTTCTCCTAAATATATATGAGCTTTCGAAAAGAACCGCAAACCACATAGAGCAAATGGTTATGTTGATGCAGGAAAAATGACCTACGAGTTGTTAAAACATGTTTACGGGCAGCCTCTCCAGACTTTCTAAATTCCTTTCGTTCAAAACTCTGACCTCTCGCGATTCTGTTAGTCAGTATGCCTAAGCGCTGACACCTGCGAGTGTCCTTGGAGTTTTATTCAAATTCCATACAAATACCTGATGAAAAAAGGACTCAGGTTCCAGTTTACAATCGAAATAAACACATTAATGTTGCGAAATCTAAACATCCAAATGATTCCCCCCAGTCATCTGGTGAAAGAGAGATGCATGATTGCTGACACGAGTAGTACTTGAGAGAGTGCACAAGACAAAGTCTGGTCATTTCCACGTTGAATGCACCTACCACGTCTTGACCGAATGAGTGCTGGGCAGTATTCGAGAGACAGCAGGCTATGGCGTTTCCGATATTTCCTAAAATAGGAATGTACTCTAGTCAACTGAGCTTCAAAATTATAAACAATATGTAGCAACGTCGACTGCAACTGAAACTAGTTGAAGTTTAGTTTCGATCGTCGCTTAGACTTTGACAAGATCCTATTTCGTAGCCGCACCTGTTATGGGTTAGGGTTAAGGGGATAGGCGTTGGGGTTGGGGGGATTAGGTTGGGTCTTGTCTACCGAAGGTACGGCTAAGAAATAAGATCCGACCTAGACTTCATCTGTCCCTTTAGTGTCTTCGCTTTTTCAGCCCTCTAGTTCAAAATGAACGTGCTTTGGTTTTATGCCCAGGACAAATAAAGGAAAAAATGACCGTTTAGTGACATGACTGACGTGAGATCCTGTCCAAACCCGTTGTAAGATTCGCATAGTAGACATGCATATAGGACACACGAAAACCGATCCAGACTCAGTTGTTTACTTTGACAAAGTAGGAACTTGCTTAAATGGGCGGTGGGGGTTAAATACGGGAGAACATAGGCCAGGCGGCAAAGCGACCAATCAGTCAAAAGTTGGCGTAGACTGATACCAATAGAAGCGAAGAGACGAGTCCCGGGAAGCAGTCTTGAAGAAGGAGACACGATCGCTGGGACAAGAGCTTTAATGGCCTGAGATTTCGGATTCCTGCTCGAATCCATCGTCAGAGACAAAGGCAAATACGGGTAGTTCATGCACAAGGGGCTGAAGTATGTATAGGATGCAGTAGCCACGGCTCCCCCCTTCATCAGGGATCGTTGCACTTGGTGTGTTGACTGTTTGATGGTCGACAGTCGTGTCGTTAATTGTGGCTGCCACGGCAAGAAACGTCTGAAGTCGTTTACTGGATCCCGAGCAGTTGCGGACAAAGCTACTACGTCGGAGAAACCGGAAGACAATTCCAAACGCTAAAGCCGAACACGCTGAAGCGGTGCGGAGAAATGACGCCAGATGTTAAGTTGCGGCTCATTTGAAGAGGTCCGGCCACGCATTCCAATTAGACGAGGCCGAAATTCTCGCAAGAGGTGACAAACATGTGAATAGAGAGCTGCTTGAGTCGTGGTTTACGGTGCCCCCAGTCCATTAACAAGTGCAATGACCTTCCGCTTTCATACTCAGTGCTGAGACTTCGCCTAGGCGGAGTAATTAGCCACGCGGGAAGCGCACAGGTGAACATTTTTCCCAACGCACGTGATGAAATTTCAGCAATAAACGACGCGAATGTCGGTCATCGGACAGTCAACACACCAAGTGCAACGATCCCTGATGAAGGGAGAGAGCCGTAAATATTCATAGGTATGCGGTAGCATGGGTACTGTGTCCTACAAATGCTGTAGCTCCTTATGTATGAACCACCTGCACCTGCTTTTGTCTCTGATGATGGGTTCGAGCAGGCACCCGAAACGCCAGGCTAAGAAAGCTCTTGTCCCAGAGATCGTGTGGAATGATACATCAGCTGGCGCTGACTGATTCGCGGTGATCTCGAATAGGCGGTCGCCCATAGAACCATGGAATCACAGCGCAATAAATGTGCTCAGCCCTTTTTAGCGTGCGCGAACTTATCGAAGATATTTGTTTGAATAGAAAATCCCATAAAATTAGGCCGGTGGGAAATTTCCGCAGCGGTGTTGCTATGTGTGTGTTAATTGCGCGACAGCTGAGATGGGTGCGAGCAAAAGTCTCCTAAGAATGTGTTTCCCTGTCTGCAACCGTTCTATGCAGTAGATGGGGTCAGCATATATCTGCAAAATTTATTGACAAAAGTTAACACTATAACAACTGTATTGAACAGATTGCAGCCAACACTTTTAAAAAAGTATTAACCATCCATATTACCCAGCACTCAAAAGTCTCTTAACCGAAACTTCACGTTATTGCAAGTGTGGACTTTTTCACTCAGTGCCGGAGCCTTGAATACCAGGGAGAATTTGAATGGACGTCCATGAAATCGGAAAGCCCGCTAACTTCATGGAATTTAATCTTGCGACGTTTTGGCTAAGTTGATAACCACACTTTCCTAATTTTAGTCTCCTTCAAGTGTAGACTTGACCTGCATCAAGCTTCCCAATTACCACCCCCACATCCACTCACATAACCCGGTACCATCTTATACGTGTTTATACTACTTGTAATTAGTAAGTAACCATTAATGATTACTCTTTTTAGACTAGCAGCCAGCTGTCCGCGAGTATGTGCAAAATCCCTTTTTCACCTTCCCATTTATCAATGTTTTTCTCCGACGACTTGTAACCAAGAGGGAGTTCAAAGGCGCTTGCCTATATTTCCCTTAATAAACTGATACTGATACTGAACTGTCTGGCCGAACTAAGTCTGTAGTGACAAAACGAAATTATTCCTAACTTTTTTGTAGGTCATCCTTGAGACTGAAATCAACAGGGAAGTTGAGTTTATTTTGCAAAGCCTTGACCAACGCGGATTGACTACCATTCCCCAAAAGATAAAAGATTTAATGGAGGAAATCCTCGGAAAATTTAATTTTTCTTCACCTGATGACAAGGCTTTAGTGGCTACGATTGCTGAACTTTCAGACAACGTCACCAACGAAATCCAAAATATTTACAACCTTCTTCAGGTTGCAGTGCAAAATACGCCAAACTCGAATTCCCATCTAACTGAGCTCAAAGCAACGAGAGTGAGTTTCTCAGTTGGCCTCTGAAATTTTTTTGAAACACGTTTTCAACTAGTTATCCTTCTTTGTTTAAATGTCTGACAGTGCACTTTCTCAACGCAGGTTACTGTCCTAACTAAGGTCGACCGATACCACCAGATGTTACTGATCACTCGTCCTTCAATAACTGCATAGGGACTGCGCTGCAGGCGCGTTGGATAAAAGTGGGATTTGGAATGATTCACCAGCGTGCTGTGCCCGCACAAACCCACAAATACGTCTGGAACGCCCTAAACACAGGCCTCCATGCCGAATCAGGCACTGTGTCAAATCTCACTACCCGCTGGTTGACAGGTCCCAACTGGTATATGGGGGAGAGAGAGAGAGATAAGAGATTGAGTCTAATAGTGCGGCGAAGTCATGTTCGCGGCGCCTCAGCGCATTCCTCTCTGTAATAAATCCAGTGGGATTGAATCCATCTGGACGTGCTAAGAGTCGCGGCTTGGAGACCTACCAGCATGCAGGATAACCCGATAGTCATGGGAGTTCCTTGGAGTAACTGAAGGACTAAGCGACAGACTATAATGGTTTCTTTCCACTGTGGCCTCCATGCTCGGCTCACTGATGATAGACCTCAGCTGCCCATACAGAGGTCTAAGACACGCCGTCGTGTGTGTGTGCGCCCCCCAAACGAGCCACGTCGTAGATGCGCTGGACCAACACGGGGGACATATTGGACTCTGGCAGACATTATCAGATTTACGCACCATAGTAAATGCCAACATTTCGGGGGCTGCGGTGGCGGACCCGGCTGTCGGCAGATGTCGTTCAAACTGGATCCCTGCCACCCCCCCCCCATTGTTGTTGTTGATCAAGAATCTGGTTATTTTTTGCGTGGACCAGGGGTTGTTGAGTGGAACGCCAAGGTGCGGGTCCGGCTGCGCCAGCCACCTGCGCCGCCCTCTCCCATCTCCGGTTTTCCTGACTCTGCCTTGACACCGGATCCAGGTGGGAAGGAGGGGAGCGCGCGGTAGATGCTGTACACGCCTACTACCATTACAAACTAATTCTCGCACAAGTCCGCGTCCTGCTCTCACCCTGCTGTGGAGCACACGCTGGACATGGTCGATGGAAGCGCCGGTCGAACTATCTTGTGTGTGTGTGTGACAGGCGAAGACAGACTGTTTATCATTGCCACCCACTGCGTCCGCGTTAACGCTGGTTGTCTTGCCATCCAAGCGAGGTGGTTGAGGTCAGAGCTAGTCAAGCAGATGTACCGAAAGTGTCCCGCAAGAGCGAGTCGCTGATGTTGCGCCTACCCCCTCGTGCTCTCAGTGAAAGCCTTGCCTTACGAGTCGCACAGGGGGTTCTGAGACGGACTTCGGTACTGCATTCAAGACCGCATTCGAACACCACTCACGTATGCGTTATGGTCGAGTTGCTCATGATCCCAGCAAGTAATTATTGTGTAACTTTGCACCTACAAGACTTACCATATTTCATCGACTTAATTTGACTATTTTGTTAATCATCCAAACCGAAAAAAAATAATTTGTGGCACGGCCAACAAACGACCTTTGATTTTAGAATACCTTTCGGAGTTTGTATACGGCTGCCTTGTCTGGCATGGTGAACACGGACATCCTTGGCAATCAACTTCAAATAAGCACGAATGATACTGACGCAATCATTAATAACCTCTTCAGTAAGGAAACTATCATGGAGGAACTGCGGAAACGTGCATCTGACGACCTTAAAAAGTTAACCGCTGTAGTTAATTCTTTGCGGGATGGTCTAGACGACATGCTTGACACATTAAACCTGGAGCCATATTACAATGCATTCGCAAAGCCGAGGAATGCTTTACAACCTTACCTATCGATCGGAGGAGAGTACTTCAAAAAGTATGCGGCGATCCCACTCTTCTCACTTGGTGGCCTGTTCTGCCTGCTTGCACTGCCGGGTCTTGTCGGCTGTCTCTGGTTGAACGCTGACAGCTCTCAGCGAAGAATCCACAAGTCGCACAAGGCCTATGCTGCAGGTAAGCGACGCGATTTTGCTTCATGCTTGTTCGAACTTTTGTTTGCTTTCACATGAAAGCCAGTGCATAAAATGCAATGCAGAAGCTGAACGCCGTCCAGTTCTCTCGTGCTGGCAGAAACCTCATCCGGTATAGTCTTTTGCCCGCCAGCTTCCCGACCACTTTACATCGAACATGGTGTTTATGGGCATTTTTGGATGTGAATTAGACATGCCCGCGGCGCTATAAGAAAAAGGAATCTTCATTCGGAAAAATTTAGGTGAACGTTCTGACGCCAAACAAGTACCAGGGAATAACCAAAATCCTGCACTTGGTTGCCGCTGTTCTTTGCAGACGTGTAAATCAGTGTTCAGAGCACCACAGTCCTCGACATTTGGGAGTTAATGATCGACATTTCGAGGCGAACATCCAAACCAGATTAGCTAGGATTATATGTCCCGGAAAATTGCTGCATAGGACACGCTGACCACATACGTAACTTACACTCTGAAATGCACTGAACACAGCACTCAATCATACGGTTTATTCATGACACCTGCTAAAAGCCGTTTTGTTTTATGAAGGCATAATGTCTACAGTATACTATTCCGCTTACTTTATTGGGACTTAACTTCTCCTTAATTCGGACTTTAAGTTGAAGTGTAGTCCTCCTTGCAACGATTTTTAGTATCAGAGGTGTGGAGTGGCACACATGACTGTTCTTGTATCCCAGCCGATTGAGCTCAAGACCATCAAGACCGAAAAGCAGGCCGTTTACTTAAGAAAGAATTCTCTTTGTATCAGATCCTAGTTACAAAATTTACTCCGCTAAGGCGTTGAAATTAATCCGAAATACATACTATTTGGCAGCGGTGCTTTTTGGAAATGTAGAGAGTGCAGTTAACAACAAGATTCTCTTTTCGGAAAGCCTAACATGGGTTTGTGAAGCAATTGGCGCAGCACTCCTGCCTATGTCAACAAATCTTGGAATTTTGCCTAAGTGAGTTTCTCCTTGCGAAACGATAGCCAGCCACTTGGGATTTTACTGCTTATACGGCAGTGCAGGAACGGCGTGTTTTGTGAAGCTAGACCGTAGTCAAAATTTTGGCCGAAATACAGGCAATTAAAGTGCAACCGGCATATTTACTAGCATTGCCTGCAGAGGAGTTATTTGCAGCTTTATTTATTAACTTGGGGAGTATATTAAAAAAGTATGCAGCGCCCTCGTTCTTCATAACTGGTGGTTTGTTTTGCCTGCCTACAAGGCCGGGTTTGGTTTGAGCATTACCAGCTCGCAGCAAGAGATAAATGTAGGAGGATTACACGTTCTTATGAAAAATAACCATGTTACGTGGAACATACGTGTATTAGATAATTCCTCCAATGCCCCGTCAAACCCACTAAACGCAAAATACATCTGAATTAAGCGTTCAGTTGGTATATAGACCTTCCGTCCTTCTTTTGCCTTTTAGATGGCATCAGATGCTGTCGCGGACGAATGTGTGATAGGTTTTCGATGGGATGTTGCTCTCTCCTGCTCATTCCCGTCTACCTGATATTCCTGGTGCTCGTAGTAATTTTAATGTTCTGGAGCAGCTTCCTAGCAATCGAGGGCTGTCACTACTTGACAAAGACTGGGGGTTTCGAGAAGGCTGACTACATCATCAATACCTACATCGAGGACCTCTGGATGAGTCAGACGGCTGACCTAAAAAACGGCTTTGGCAGTCTATCGGACTATCTTCAGCTTCCAGCGCCGAAAAACATACTTGCGGCTCTCAACGATGGATGTGACCCGAAAAATGTGCATTCAAACTGTCATGGTCTTGGTACAATGGGTGCCGTTGGATGGAGGTCATTGATCAATGTTACGAGGCTCCTAGAGAGCCCTCGGATTCAAATAGCACTAAACGACAGTGAAAGGTACACACCATTTCCTTCAAGCTAATATGCCGACCTGCCGGTCTGACGCTATTCCTTTTTATAATTTGCCTGATTGCAAGGTTTCGTTGGCCCTAGATCTGTGGGCAGGCTACAGCTTTACCACAGACTCTCTTTACGCTCCTTTTGAAGCCCAAAAAGAAATCCAACGCCTAAGATACACTGCAGGCAAAGACAAAGGCCTGGAGTAAATTTTCCGGTTTATTTTTCTACCTCAACCCTGTACCGGTAAGATGGACTATTTGAATCCAGGCCGAGTAATGTTCTCTGTCACTGGGAAATGCACCTGGGTATCACACGCCAAATAGCAGAGCGTTTCCTTTTGTGTCCAATTACATGGGAGTCTGGAGTCGACCCCAGGTTCACTACGGTCTCAAATGGATGAACTATTGGCTGTCAGAGTGCCCATTCCAGTCCAACTTTTATTTATTTGGTGATACGCCTCGACGATGAACTGGATGGTCGGCATTAATTGTCTAGCTAGATGACTCAGTATACCTGTGCCCCGCATCAAGTACGAGTAGATGCAGCACGTTCGCAAAAACTAACTGGGCCGTACGTGGAAGCTATTCAGGCCAGAAGTTCCATGCTTTGTTCGTCGGACTGTATCGGTCTTTCGAGAGCAGCATATCATCTGACAGCGGTTAGTAGCACGGAAGGTGCTGTTGACGTGGGGAGAAAACAAATCCTCGTAATTTGCATCCAAATACTTGGATAAGCCCAGCACCTGCAATGCTTGAAATTGCGAGACAGGACAGGCGACTATTAACGGATTCCAGGTAGCTGTCGTCCGGATTTAATGGTGCCTATCACAAGGGCGACTGAGATAGAATGAACTTTATGTAGGTTTTCATAGTGTGAGGAAGGTTTAGACTGAACACAGTCCAAAGGCATGATGATCGCCCGAGTTTGAACGGGAAATATAAACCAGCCGCATGATTTGAGCTATGTATTGGTACATATGGCCCTCCCTTCAGCGAGACAACGACCTCTGGAGGGATTGGCATAAAGGTGTTCATTTCAAGTTGAGTGACGAGCGATACCGCGATAGAGGGAGTATATCGGCTGGCCAAGATGCTGGAAGTTCCTGGTGTTCCGAAAGGAGAAGCCTGAATCTCTTTGGTAAAGATGTTATTGACTTCTGCTGCCAGATAGAGGTGTTGGACTTCATTTTCTCTCAATATTGTCGATGTCACCCCGCTCAAGACTTAAAATTACCTGAGAACATCGGATGTGTCCCAGGACCCGGTGGGTCTCTTGGCCGTTGAGAGATGATTCGCAGTGCGCCGAAACTTCAAAGCTCCTCAGTCAAGGCTAAGTCTTATTAAAGATCGAAGCGGGAGAGACAAAGGACATCATATAAAGTAGGGTTGTTCCTATAATTCTGCATAAACGTCGGTAAGGCCAATAGTAAAAAATTCGTTATTTACATTTACTTCGGAACAACTTACTCGAAGACAGGATGAGTTGAAAAAGCGCGTCGTACACTAGCTTCGGTCTGACTTAGCGCCACCAACTAGGTACCCATTTTTCGTCTCAACAGTAAAACATAATATCCGGTCTCGTTGTAAGGTAATAACAAGACTGAAAGTTCAACTGAAGCAGTACAAACTTGTTGACGAACTTATGACTTGCTCGTCCGGCGAACAGTCCTTATTTGGTGTCCTCATGCCCTGAAACAGTAGCTCCAGATGTTCTTTCGGTTTTCTCTGCGCAGTGCTTGAACAGAATGAATCAAGTTGGATTATTTTGTATTGAATTAGAAACCTTATTTTTTATCCAAAATGTGTCATTATGGGAACTGATTGGGGAAAATATCTTAGAGAAGGTGGAAGGGTTTTCAAAGGCATTGCCTTTTACCCTTAAAATATACTGACCTACATGCGTTTGCTGCGCAAGCTTAAAATGTTTACTGTCATCCTCGGGGGCTTGGAGATCCAGGCAGCAAATCAGAGGGTAATTAGCCGAAGGAAAGCGGTTTAAAAAACCTCCGAAGCGCTGTATCGGACGATCGATAAAAACCGACTGGTAATGCCCAAGACAAAGCACTCGTAATGGCAGTCAAATTTAAATCCGGCTCGAATGAAGTTCCTTTCGAACACCAAAACTCGACCAGTCGAGTCTCCGCTGCCCTCGAAAAGGGCCGCTATTTCAATCTCAACTGGAGTGCTAATCGGTTGACTAACCAGCCATGGCATGCGCGTTGTGTGGACACGAGAACGACAAGAGTCCAAAGCCAATCGGCGAATAATTATGCGTTAACCTTGAGGTCGCTCTGGTCGAACTCTAGTTCGAATTTAATTGTTTTCGGGGTTGAAACGTTAGGGTGAGCGGAGTGGATCTTGTAACCCTACCGATGTGTATGAAGTGCAAAAGCCGGTGCTCGATGCTGGGAAGGAGCCCAAGGAATTGGTTGTTTAGTGCAGTAACTTGACCTAACTGACAGGTCCAGGAGCAGGCTTTACCCACGTTAACCAGTGGTCTTGTAACACCAAGGGAATTTCACCGTCATGAACTGACGACAGTGGGTGGCTGAACATTTTACTCTAGAACATTATTCCAAATACCAGGAAACGTACTACTCAGCATATTTCATTAATGTGCTGGTGGGCGCTGAAAGCAGTTCAGGTGACAAACCTTTCTCTAAGCTTGCTCTGGCTTGGAAGGCGATATACTACTTTCGTTGCGAAACGAGTTTAGCGCAGTTACTTTTTAAGCTTTGGCATTCTAATCTAGTGAAAGAGTCCTCTCTTACCAAACTCCAGTCCAGAGCACCCCAGTTGTCCACAGGCGTTCATTCTAGTGTTGATGGCTAAAACCTATCTACGGATTTCAATCTAGATTTAAATCACATCGACGAATTGAAATTGGTCTTTAATGGCAATAGACCACAACTAATATACAAAATAATTGTTTGACACTAGAACTCTTGATCAGGAAGCAAATTGTTATATACGACACCATCAAACCATGAGGTAATCAAGTTGCCTTATTGAGCAAGAAAACACTTTGCGATCATAGGTTTCTTGCATGGATCGTTTTGTTTCGTCTTTACTTTATGCATACTCATTTTTAGGCAAATATGCTGTCAGGTGACAGTTGGCAATTTTTTGTTTTTAGGTTCCTGATGGATGAATTTGATAAATATTCCCAAGGTTTTACAGGCTACGTTGATCTTAGCCACTTTGACGCTTGGGCTGAAAACCTAAAGGACTTCTATAACGACAAGGATCTACAGGTAAACATTCGGCTTCGACAAATATTGTTTCACAAAGTTACTATTATGACATTCCATCATTTTAGTGTTCATTTTGTCAGTAATTGCGTATATGTGGACGGAATACTGGGCATTGGTTACAGGGGACTCCACTTGAAAGAATAGCCGTTACTAAAGCCTTTATACTGGTTATGAGAGGTCTAACCCAGCACTGAATACCTTCGGTGGGAAGACTCCACCAATAGTGCCTAAAGGACACCATCCTAATCTACTGTCGCTCGATCATTGCACGCTGGACTCAAAACAGGCACCCAGATGATTCTGTCGTCTGTAACTTCGTGTTGTCTACAGTAAGTTTAAAGTGGACCCGGAGATTGTGTGTCACACATTGACAGTCTGCCGCATGCCCTGCGGAGTGGGTATAGTACCGGCGGTTTGTGAGTGAATAGGTGGTGGCAGACTTGTGCGGCAATGACAGCGTCTAAGCGGTAAGAGAGTACTCGGGGCGGCACAATAACCGCGGCTCAGTCCCATTTTAGAGGATAAGCGGAAAGACACCAGTAGCAGTAGTATATTCTTGTGACTGTCAGAGCTCCCGACGCAAGACCGGCTGGGTAAGATTTGGTTATGTAGCCACAGATGATGAGCACAGATCTGTTGGGGTTGGGGTTAGGGGCTGCGGGTAGGGTTTATGGTTAGGAGTTATGGTTAGGGGCTGGAGTCAGGATTTATGGTTAGGGGTGAGGCTTAGGAGTTAGTGCAACTGTTTCCCAACCACTCAAAGTGCAACCGCGCATTCCCAATAGGTTTTATTTTGCCCACACCCACCTGGCCATGTCGTCTGTGCGTTCTCCGGCCCCACCTGTAAAAACTCCGATTGCCACCGGTCCCGTATTACAGGTAGCTGGAGTTTGTTTACTTCAGGTGAGGCTGCATAACCATATCTGACCACCGGCTGTAGGTCTGCTCGCGTGGTTGGCCCAAGGTGACATGGGCGTGAGTGAACAGACGTCACGTGTAGGTCAGTCACTGCCAGCCTGGCCAGTTTATTGGGAGATAGCAGAGCCTATGGGCACCTGTGATTGGCTATCCTCGAGGCTGAATATGCTCACGGCCTGGCGCTCGGGCGTCGGGATTACATGACTCCTTGAGCGGCGTGGGTGCCGGACGCAGAAGGCTGAATCTCGTCTGAGGCGCTACACGTCTCGTCTTCACAACACACAGTGAACTGCAATGAAAACAATCCAGCCACTGCAGTTATGCCGCCGTTCGGCAATCCCACAGGCTACCACCCATAACGCGACGTTATGCAGTCAAGTATAGTGGGATGAGCGCTGGTTTGCGGTGGAGGGGATTCCCCAGTGTCGGTTTCGCGTAAAATTTTATAACAGTGCACGCAAGTCACTCTATTTTTCATCTACAAAATACTTTATCTACTGTCCCCAGGTGCACGAGTTTTAGGTCAATTGGACGTAAGTAAGGCAGTCAATTATGGCCTCTCCATGTTGATTTGTCCCCTCTCCCCCTTTCTGACACAATAAGCATCCATCCCATTGGTGACACCCTGCATAAAGAAATCCTTTTTTGCAAAAGTGGCCTGTCTTTATGCATCAGATGCGGACTACGGATGAAAGACGGAAAGTCATTTCTATAGGGGACCACTGAAAACGCACTGCTTTTCTGAAAGCGGGAGTATACAGCCACAGCTAATACAGTTTACGTCCAATTCAATTAAATGCTAACTCGAATCCTGAAATATGTCTTCGATTTGAGAAGACTACATTAGTGGGCTTGCGGAATTAATTATCATGCGGCAAAACTCAAAGATATTTCAGTCACATCAGACCTCCGACCTTTGACAAGCATCGTCCTGGTCGCCAACAAATATGCACCCTGTAAAAAGGCCTAAATGAATACTATGAATTCTCGCATCGAGTTTCGATGTCCTTATAGCTTCAAATGCGTTTTATGATACCAGCTACAAAATATTCTTTTAAGTTCTGCATTAGTAGAAAATTACGTTCTCTTCAAATCTTGCGCTTAAAAAGGCACTATTTATACTTTAAAAAAATCTTTGGGTCCCCGAATAATTTAGGACGCGGTCTGCTGTTACACTTGCTTTCAGGGTTTCCAAACTGCAACCTGTATATATTTCGTGTAATGAAAATCATGCATTTCTTTATGCTATTAAGAAGCTGTCAGATGGATGTAGATGGATGGATGGATGCATGCGATGAATGTAGATGGATGTAGACGATGTGTGGATACAATGGATGTGAAGAAGAAGAGTCGAGCACCGGAACACTTCGTTTATTATCCTGAGCTTTCAGACTCGTACAGGAGTCCATCGTCAGAGGTAGTGGCAGAAACAGGATGGGCGACAGTTATAAGGCACGTAGGCCCAATCATCGACCGACGTCGCACGACTGGAGGTGACTACGAAGGGCTCTGTACGCCGGTGCCAGATCGATAAATGCGATGGGTGTAGACTATGTTGTAAACTTGATGACCAACATCAATAAATGGATAGGCGCGATGATTTATGAATAAACATTGCATAGTCCTAAAAATCACATAATGAAAAGCTTTTCCAGAACTGATAAAACACTCCTTCTTTAAGTGGTAAGTTTGAAAACGACATAAGTTTCTCCTAAACGAATACGAGAAAGGATATTTTGT